CAGCTTTAGAATCACTGGTTCCAGCAAAAACAAATGCTGGTTGAAGCAAAATTTCTAGCCGGTTGCATCAAAAAAGCTCTCGATCCCAGCAAAAAGAAAAAATGCATCTCTGGAAAACGCTGGCTCCAGCAAAAATATAGATGGTTCCAGCATAAAAGATGGCTAGTTGAAGCAAAAATTCTCACTGGCCGCATAAAAAAATACCCGCCAATTCCAGTAAAAGAAAAATGCTGGTTCCAGCAAAAAAATATAGATGGTTCCAGCAAAAATGCTCCATGGTTCCAGCAAAAAATGGCTGGTTGAAGCAAAAATAAAACCTGCTGGAGAACGCGGCTGTTGGTTCCAACATTTGGCTGCCACGGTTGCAACACCTCACGTCGCCGGTTCCAGCAAAAAGTTGGCCGGTTCCAGCATCCTTGGCGCATCGCCGCACTTTGCCCCGCCCCCGTCGCAGCTCTTTCAATGTACTGTTGCAGCAGGCCACAACGCGGTTCCAGCTTCCGCCGAGGCCGGTTGCAACATGCCCGCTATGGTTCGCGTCTACTCCGGTGACCGGTCGCTGTTCATAGCACGGCCTCGTCGGAGCCTACAGCGCGACGCCGGACGCCAACGGGGTGTGGTGGCACACAGCCGGGCCGTCGCCCCAGGGCAAGTGGCTGTCCGGCGTGGCCGGTCGCGGCGCGCGGTCCCAGCCCCCGACGCTACGCCGACGACCTCACCTGCCAACAGCGGGGGTGGACTGGTTGATGTGTGGTGGGCGGCCATTGCCTAAGTGCTTGGGCGAGGAAAGACTAGATGTGGGAGGAAGAAAAGCAAATGAGTGGCTGGGAGAAGAGCTACGAGAGGATAAGGGATGAGTAGTGGGCCTATTAGCAACAACAATTAAGCGAGTGCGCGGACGCGACCGGCTGTAGGTTCGGCCGACGCGCCGGCTCGAAACGTTTCCCTTCGTAAGAACCTATAGTTGAACAAGAAAAATAATCACTTGGCAGTTGGCAGTAAATTTTATTCCTTGGGGCATACAAGCTACCAAATTACACACCTCAAGAAAATAGAGCGATTCCGTAAGCATGAGTTCCATTTGTGATATAATAAAACGCTATCTTATCACACGGTCAAGACACGCTTCTCACACCCCAAATATAGAAATTTTCTAGTAGCTGCCTAGAGAGAAGGCCAAATGCTCTGCTTTATATAGAAAAGCAGGAGTTTCAGTGGGAAGGGCAGCGTCGCAAACTCACAACACAAGAGCTGCAAAAACAAAACAAACAGGCAGCAACCAGACTGCCGAAGAAAGGCTGCCCACACATGCCACTAACAAAATATGCTGAATCTCTCTCGCCTTGTTATGAATCGTCTCTTTTGACCGATCATTGCCTCACTACGCTACGCTGTGCCGCATAGAGGAGCATCCACTACGAACAAACAAGAGCAATCATAAAGCGCATCCAAGCGGAAACTTTTGCTTCAAGGGGAAATTAGATTTCCAAAGATCCATTATCCCACGCCCACTACCAGTGATATCGCGGGACGCTGCTTACTTCTTGCCTACTAGGCGGCCGTGCAGGTGCAGTAACTAACTTCTTCGTGAATGAGTGTCGTCAGCAGTGTTGCTTGGGCATATGGACAGAGGTGAGAGGTGTGAGGTGTCCGAATCCGGCTCAAATTTGGCTGGCAACTCTATCCACAGCCCATCAGCAATTTTTATATAGATTCTATATGAAATTGCTGATGCCGCAAACAATTTTCTTTGTCGCGACAGCTCTATCCACAGCCAGAAAATCTAGTCCAGCAATGGAAAGAATAAGGGAGTGCGCCGACTGTTTAGAGACGGGATTCTAATAAGTTCATAGGGATAGGGTGTGCGTCTTTAAGGACGTGTATGTGCATGTATGTGAGGTCTGTAGAGTGTTTCTATATTTTTTTTGAACATGTACTAATATGTAGGCCCCACAACAATGGACATCAGCTCTATCCGGGAGTAGAGCAGGCGAGTAGCTCATCTTGGCAGCACACACCTCCCACAGCTTCTCCTCTACAACCACTTGGCAAGGTACAAAACAATTCCTTCCTTCCTTGCAGGTGGCAAATCAGGTAATCTTCGACTGTCACAGAACGCTCTACACACCCTGCTCTTCCCCAAGTACAGTAGGGACAGCCAACACATTCATTACCATGGCATATCCTAACAGCTTCCCTGCTACTGTACAACCGAATGATTTCATGCCCAAACACCTGTCATGTGTAAACATCACTGCCATTACGTTTGCGAATTCTTCAGGTTGCAGCAAGCACCTGAAATGATAGAAATCACAAACAGTCTTTACTCTCCATGCAGCTACACTACTAACTGTGTTTTCTCCACGCATGCAAACTTGCTGGCAATCCAACTTTGAATTCATATTGCAGCATCACTTTTGTCATCTCTCCATTGCCAGGGCCTGCGCTGCATTCATGCAACTTGATGTAAGCAGGCGGTAGAATAAAGATATAGGCCGGCTAGTTCCACTTCCAGGCTCCAGCTGCTCACATCAGGAGTCAAAGTAGATGAAATACTATATGATTATGCAATGCAGCTGAGCTGAGTTTAAGCATGTCAAGGTTTTCCATTGCCAGGTAGTACTATATAATAGTGTAGAGCTGCTAACTTAACTGTCCAAACCATGCATCCTATCGAATGAATGAACCACCAGAGCAAATAGCCAATACAGAAAGGGAAATAGTTACATAAGATCCAGCCAGTTCATAGGCAATGGGTCTATTGCTGGTAGGCCTACTGAATTGGCTTAGTTTCTTTCCAAGTAGTTTAACATATCACCAAGGGATTTGATGTTTCCCAGTGGCATTAATTAATTAGCGCCATGTTAAAAGAATTGACTAAAAACGAAGAACAACTGCGAAGCAGAGAAAATGGAACAGTACCCGATTGATTAAGTGGAGACGACGGTCTGATCTGATCTTTCTAGCTAGCTATATCGTGCACTTTCTCCTTTTCTCGATCTGATGTCTGTCGTCAGCGTGCTCCTTGTTTCCTTGTTTTTATTTCCTGAACAGGATGCAACTGCTACTATTTCCTGCTTCCCCTCTGCAGCCATTGTGTGGACTAAGCAGATGAAATTAAAATGGAGCCAATAGGAGGGACTTACAAAACAAGTAAATAGACAAAGCATTCGAGCAAACACATTAAGAGGGAGCAGTCAGCGTACAGTTGTGTTAATTTACCTCCAGATTCGATCAAGTGCTGGGACAGTATATCCCTCACCCTGGCAGCATCCTCCTCTGCCACCTGTCGCACTTGCTCAGTGTAATTCTCCTGATTGCTATGCATATCTGCGGCCTCTTCCTCCAAGTCTATCACAATGTTATGCAAAATGCAGCATGCATAGATAATTTGAGGAAGCCGACACGAACTGGCCGAGCGCCACATCTCTCTGTCTAGGACCTTCCAAGTGTCTTTCAACCTTGTGAGCGCGGCCAACATAACATCTGTAGCTGCAGAGTGTCTCCTGTTGAACTCGGCTTGATAAGGAGGGAAATCTGCAGAGGAGTCCTTGTCTTCCAGGTGGTAAGGTGTGAGGAGCCAGGGGAGAAGAGGGTATCCTGCATCACCAATTATGTATTCTCCAACTTGCCATCCATCTGATAAATTCAACTTGCTACCATTCAGCCAAGTACCCTCCTCACAGGACATGAAGAGTCCAGAGTCATGCAGAAGGCTTGATTGGTTCATGCTACCAGGCAGTCCCAACCAAATGTTTGTAAACCTCATATCTGGATCAACGACGGCTTGCATTAGCAAGCCGTCATTCTCCTCATGGTCACAGTTTTGTGATCCAAATGTGATGTGGGCTGTACGTACAACACCGCAGCAGTTCTGCAGGCCATGGATCTTGCCAAACTTGCGCTTGATCTTCTCCATTTTAGCAGAGCCAGGATAGTTGAATTGGTGGTATGCTCGCTCCCACAAAGCCTCAACAAATATCCGAGTTACCATCAATACAGTTGACTCGTTCACACCAAGGGAGGATCCTACAGTAACCGGTGACTCACCGGAGTTCAGCATCCTCAAAGCAATGGCCACTCCATCTTGTAAAGATAGCACTCTCCCATCAATAAAGGTGTGATCCCAAGGCATCATATATTCAAAAACTGGGATCCTCACCAAGCTGCAGACGTGACTGAAGGTACTTCTTCTCATTTTGTACACAGCCACGAATCCTTCTGTGTCCACCATAAAAGATGATAATCTATCTGCATGGCAAGAAAAATACAGAACTGGTTACATAATCTCTAATTTGCAAGACAAGAACTAACATATAACTCAACATTTGTTGAACTCAAGGTAAAACTAGCAGAACAAGTGAAAAAAAAGATAAATACTTGCAACATATACGAGGAAGTGCAACCAAATCAGAAAGTACCCATAAAACAACCCACACGTACAACTAGTGTTGCATGTCTGGAACAACTTAACATCCATGTTTATATGTCATCTTAAACAGCTAGTCATGCGAAACAAAAAAATGTGCGGAATATATTCAGTCTCTGTGCAATATATATGGATGAAAAGCAGAGGATAAAATAAAACTACCTTATAAATTACCAGAGTCAGAGTGCTCAAACAAACTAAGACAAATCTCATATGTTTGATTTTCTGTACCTGAAAATATCATGGAGCTGCTAATATTTGAATCCAACTTGAAGTTGTCTCCCCTCGTGTATAACACATACCATTTTCTTTGGTTGTCTCCGTCAGGCGTATATGCCTGGACATGCTCCACATGGCTGAACTTGTCCCACTCAAGACCAGATTGTCCTGCGGCTATAGAAGATAGCAACCATATCCTGCAGAGCAGCTGCAAATGCCTTAGCTTTATATATCGCATGTATTCTGGGAGTTCTTCCATGACGTAATCCTCCAGGACCAATCTCTCAAGTACAGGGATACTCTCTAGCACCTTCAACTTTGGGCAATCGGTGATTGTGAGCTTCTGCATATTGGGCAGATTGGTTATCCTCTCCAGATCAGGGCTTCCACACACTGTAAGCTCAACAACAGAAGAAAAGCCCTCAAGGCAGTTGAGGTGTTGGACGTCTTCTACAAATAATTCCTTCAAAGCATGTGTGTTGGAGGCAAGGCCAGGAGGAGCACGCCTCAGTTTGCAATTAATGAGCCAAAGCTTCTCCAAACGGGGCATGGCTTCTACATGCTCCTCCCACTCCCACTCCTCCCATTCCACCATTCCTTCTAAGCTCATCTCGGTTAACCTCGGAAATGGAGTCGACTCTGCCTGCAAGAATCCGGTTCCAACACGTCTGATGCATGGAGCACGGTCGACCTGAAGCAACTGCAGGCAGGGGAGCTGACACAACCCACTGGGAAGTTGGGTACAACAAGCCAGGTCATAAAATGATAGAAACTTCAAGTTGTTGAGGGGCACCCTTGACCTCGACATCATCCAACTCGGCAGTTGCTGGCCAAAATACCCGGGGATACGAAGATTTTCTATACTGGGCGGAGGGCAGAGCTCATCGAACACCTTCTGGATTCTTTTCTGCTCTTCAGCAGAGACACCTTCTTTCTCTTTGACCAACCCATCATCTCCCAGCCTGCTGGTGCAGGACAAGAATAGGTTGGTAAGATGCATTTTCTCACCAAGCCTAGCATTAGCAGCAAACGAAGCTAAAGATACATTCTCCAATTGAATTAATTCAATTATTCTGAGTCGGGAAAGAGGCCCCAACTCATCCAAACTACACCAATCACCATCCATGTGGGCTTGAAACCCAAGTAGTCTCCTCATACTTGTCAGACCACGGAACCCTCTAGGTATCATACATACGTCAGCAAGGCCAAGAAACCTCAACTGGCCAAGCTTCACAATGCTATCAGGAAGATTTGCCAAATTTTCACATCCACGAAGGTCAAGGAATTGTAATAGTTTCATGTTGCCAATGTTCACTGGAAGTACAAATATATCAGTTACTAGCTTCAAATACCTCAGGTGCTTCAACTGATGCAATGATTCAACCAATGAAACCACATTTGCAGATACTATATGTAGAGTCCTTAGACTAGAAAAGGTAACCAATGAATCACCGGGCCTCATCTTGATCTGAATAGTTGAGATTAATGTCCTCACCGATTTCTGCTCCTGTAATGATTTCCAGTCTAGTTGACCTGATTGCAGTCGATCGGTTTCTATAGACAACCGAAGAAACTTTTGTGAATGAAGTTTAGTTAGAATATCGGTGTCTCCGTTGTGAGCTATGAGTGCTTCATCTTTAGTCATATACTGAGCAAATGAACGAACAACATCATGCATGCTACAATAAGATTGACCAACATACGATTTATCTGGCTCTATAAGGTTCCTAGATATCAACTCATTGTAGTAATTTCTTCCATATTCTTCTAAATCATTTGAGCTCCCATGAATAAATCCTTCGCTGATCCACATGGCAATGACTTGATCCACATGAAACTTTCTACTTTTAGGGAGAAGAGAGTAGTATAGAAAGCACTGCTTCAAATAAGAAGGCATATCTTCATAGCTCAAGTATAATGCATAGTTGAGCTCTTGGGGCATTCCAGTTATTGACCATTTAGAATCATCCAAAACATGCTCCCAGTCATGACGTAGCTCACCCCTTCTACGCAGGAGCCCTCCCATTACTTTGATGGCAAGTGGTAAACCACCACATTTTTGTATAATTTTCAATCCGACATCCTTCAGCTTATTGATGTGGTCTTCATCTATCTCACTTGAGAGTACCTGGAAACATGCAGTTCAGCGGACCAATAGAGTTAAGTAACTACATATCAAGCTCACTCAAATATACCTCTTAATAGATGAGGACTAGTTGATATAGCCATCTATTTGCCAGGGTGTGTTTGATTATAAAAAAAATTCAAAGTTCAGAAAGTATTCAGAGTATAATTGTACTTACTTATCTAGCTCCTATAACAAAGATTCATGCAATGACTCCCATGTGTACCATACATATATATACTTTATATCAACAAAGCAATTTTTCTTTCCTTTTTTCCAACATGGATTGTTTTCTTCCAAAAATATACTTTTGCATTATTCTCTTGTCGTTGCAATATAAAATTATACTCTGAATTTAGGATAATTATATATTATATAGTTCATTATTTTACGGTCGCCTGAAATTATCTTATCACTCAGTCACCTAAAATGCACAATACTACAAAAAATATTGCTTTGTAAAATTTGCATACAATTTTTTTAACAAAATTATACTGCAACAGCTAGTCTAGTTAGCTTTTGTGGTAGGGGTTCAGCAAAACTGTTGTTTTTCATCATAAAAAACAACTTATCATTTCTATTATGTCATATGTGGGTCAGAAGCTGAGCATTTAGATCTTCATCCCTGGTTGAGCAAAATTGACTGAAAATTAGTAACATTTTACTCACTACATGAATATACAACCCACATATCTTCATTGGTAAAACTGATAAATTCATTAATTTTTAGTTTTTTCTAATTATATTAATCAAGCTCAGCAAAATAAGATCTCAATGTCACGAACGTGTGTCATGTAGGTAGGCATAAATAAAATACTGAAAATCAAATTGGTGCTACAGTATAGTTAAAGAGGTAATTGTAACAGTGGCCTTGAACTTGGCACACATGTGCACTTTAGTCCCAGAACTTAAAAACTGTGGTGCATCAGTCACTAATTGGCAAAATGTAGCAGCCGAGGTCAAACCGAGACCACATCGGTACCGATAGTTGGCTTGCTATCATGTGAGGCCTCCCAGGGGGAGGGGGTTTGTTTTCATTTCAATAGAAACACTGAGTTAATGATCTTTCACCAGTGTGTCTTTGCCCCTTTAGTGCACTCCTTCAAGCTCATGTCTGTCATCGACGAAGGTGGAAGCAATCAGGGAGGATGCTGCCAACGTAGTGCCTGGGGACAATGGAGGTGGTGGTGGTGAGGAGTGTGAGCAACCTGTCGCATAAGGCAACTGTACTGGGGGCAGGTTGGGTCCCCAGCACAAACAGAGCCGTCCGCGGGGAACATTCCTCTGTCTTGTCCTCCATCGTTGCACTTCTATGAATGAATAATACAACTCTAGGGGTTCTTTGCAGAAGAGAAAAAAAAACAGAGGCCTCACGCTAGTCCCGTGTGATTTCTAGGCGAAAAATGCTCGTGTCAGCAAGCCAACTAGCCATCTGAGCCGAATTGGTCTCAGGTTGATCTCTGGTGCAATATTTTGCCAAGTAAACGGCCAGTGACCACTGTTTCGAAGTAAAGTGCACATTCATGCCACGTTCAATGACCGCTAGTGCGATAACCACATTTGTAAAAGAGCAAAACTCATATTAGCCCTAAGAAATTATTAACAATATCTTACCTTCCAAGGGATAAAGTACTTACAAGCCATTTAATAATACGTAATTAATGGCACATATTAACCTGGAAGAATCCTATTTTTCTTAATCAATAACAACATTGTACTGTTAATAATAAGTAGATGGAGATTGATTATTCACTTGATTAAGACAATACTATTTAATTGCATACGAACCTGCTTCTTGAGCAATGACCAAGCGTCGTCAGGCGCTAATGTGTCGATGTGGTGGTAGGGCCGTGTGGCTGTCATCCCTCGGGCGACACCTTCATCTCTAGTGGTGATGAGGACTCGGCTGCCTGAAGCAACAGCATTAACTAAGGGTATTTTGAGCACTCCCTCCCATGTTCCATGGTTCCACACATCATCCATTACAAGTAAGGTCTTGTGGTCAATCAAGGCGTCTTTGAGGGTTCGCTGAAGCGTGGCCTTTGCATCTCCAGTTGGGTGGTGGTCTCCTCCGGCTTCGATGATGGCTCTTCTCAGCAGCTCGGACTCACTGAAGTTTTGATTGACGCTCAACCATATCTTTTTGCTGAACTCACTTTGGATGGCCTCGTCGTTGAAGACCTTTTGTGCAAGGGTGGTCTTGCCAATCCCGCCAACGCCTACAATGGCGAACACCATGATGTTGTTGTTGACCTCCTTCGTTGTTTGGAAGATTTGGGCCACCAGTGCTCTTGTGTCTTCTTCGATTTTCTCCCCAACCAGACCTGACCGATCGAGCTCCCCTGACGTCTCACGGCTAGGATTACCATGAAGAGAGGCATGCACCTTGATGCTATGATCCTCGTAGGACCAGAGATTAATGAAGTCGAAAGCAGCGCTCCGCTCCTTGATAGTGTCGAGCCTGTGGTTGAGTGCCTTGATGCGGGTGCCGATTTCATGAGCATGGAAGGGGTTCCGCATACAAAAGAGCAAGGGATTGAAACAACCTGCATCTACGGAGGATGATACACGTTCCATGGCTTTGAGCTGGCAGAGGTCGAGGATGTCAGTAGCTTCGTACATGGCACGCTTGAGCTGCCCCACCCACTCTTGGACGGTCTCGTCGGTGATATTCCTTCTATCGGCATCGGCGAGGAAGTTTTTGAGGTCCCGAAGCTTATAGCCCATCTTGTCTATCCCGCTGGAGACACCCAATAGCATTCCCAGCTCTTCTTCTGCTACCTGCCTGAGCAAGTCCCCCAGGTAGGATCCAAATGCATCAAGCACCATCGCCATTGTAGTTGCTGTCTTCTGTTGTGATAATAATTGCGAGGTGAAATTTCAGTAGGAGCTCGAGACAAAGAAACAAGCAAGAAGCTTAATTAGCTAGGTGTGATTAAAGGGACAAAATAAAGTTGAACTACCTAGATGGCTCGATGGATGTCTTGCTCATTCAGCTCTGGAGAGCAAATCAATCCCGGTAAAGAGGAAGAAGGAGCTTCCATCGTATATAAATGAAAGGGAAACTAGCTAACTAATTGTTAACAGAAGGGAAACTTCCTAGTTTATAACATAATTTGCCCCCATCACATTTCGTCACTATCTACACTTAACATAATAACACTAGCGGACAGCAGAGCTGGACGGAGTTAATTAATTAAATAATGTGGTTTGTCAGGTTGCTGATCTTGCTTATCTTTTTAACTATTAGTTCTTGCCCTGATTGGCGTGATTTGTTCAGGTCTTACGTAGGTTCGTTGCAGCTCAGCTGTCAAAAGGTAGCTCTGGTCAATGGTAAGGCTAAGGTGACGAATGTATTGTTTTCTTTTCCAATAATGATGTACTATTTTAGCACCCTGTGGCTCTCAAGATGCATACAACTGCCCTCGCGCATATTAGTTAGCCTGCCACTGCTCAGCCTTCTCTCAAGTTTATATGTATTTTCGGTCTCAGAAAGAATTTCTATCAATACATATGTCCATGTAGAGAATTTAGAATGGATTGCCTTAGATGTAATCGAGATCGAGATCAGTGCGACTTGGACTAATCCGTAGCTAATTAACTAGTGCCAAACTGCGTCACTTTTTTTTGTATCTAATGAAGATCTTTCCTTGAGAGACGATGAAGACAAGACTGTGCCATGGATTAACTAATAATTAGGCAGGTCACCGTCGCGGACCTGCGCCCCTCCGTGGCCAAGCCCCAAACTCGTATCGAGCCCTAGCAGGGGAGGTGGCTGTCCAAGGCGGCCCGGACTATTCTCATCAACTCCTCCCTCTCCAGCCTCCTCTTGTTCCTCATGAGCTTCTACAGTCTCCACGAGACCCTTCACCAGGAGATCGCCAAGGTCCAGTCCCGCTTTTACTGGGCGGGCGACCATGACAAGCAGAAATACCATATGGTCAGCTGGCCTAACATCTGCAAGCCCAGGGAGCAAGGGGGCTTGGGCATCATGTGCTCTAAGCGGGTGAATATCGCCCTTCTCTCCCGCTGGCTTTGGCGTATCTCGCAAGGTCACGGTGGCCTCTGGCTTGACATCATCCGGAACAAATACTTGCGTGGCCAGCCCCTCGCCTTCTGCCAGAAGTCTGGCGGATCTCAGTTCTGGCAGTCGATTGTTCAGCTCCTCCCGGTCCTACGTATCGGGACCTCCATCTCGGTGGGATCCGGAGTATCGACGTTGTTCTGGTTTGATCGCTGGGCCAGGGACACTCCCTTTGCGGCTTGCTTTCCCGGCCTCTTTTCTATCTCCATCGATCCCGTGATTTCTGTTGATAGGGCCCTTCTTGACTTAGGGCGCCTTGCTTTCCGGTGGCCTTTCGGCCCCTTGGAATCCGCCGCCTGACGTGAGTTGCTTGACTATGTCGCTCTCCACGAGCCTATGGTGGATGGTGGCCCTGACCTGGTGCGCTGGCGCCTTGAGCCTTCGGGTCAATTCTCCATCAAGTCGCTATACCTGGCCATCGCCCCTTCCTCCGCCCCCCTCCCCCTTTTAATGGTGTGGTCCATCCGTCTGCCCCTGAAAATCCGCATCTTCATGTGGCAATGGATTCGCGGTCGGTCCCGTCCGGGGTGGAGGTGCGCAAGCGAAATGGCCCGGGTACTGGCATCTGCCCGCTCTGTGGGGTTCACGAAGACTCGAACCACATTTTCTTCTCCTGTGTTTCCGCTCAGTTCCTCTGGAGCTGCTTTCGCGAAGTGGTCGGTGGAGATTGGAGTCACACCAACTTCCCGGACTTATTTGCCGAACTCCAGATGTCCCCCGTGACTTCTCGCCACATTAGGTGGCTTGAGATTGGGGTCCTCGCCTGGACCCTCTGGACTGTCCGCAATAAGCTAGTGATTCAGCGCACTCCTCTTCGTCGGGCTACTGACGCTCTCTTCAAACTCTCGGGTTTCTTGCAGCTTTGGCGGCCGCTTAGCCGCCCCCTGGACCGCGACGCCATCTCAGCCTTCATCGCCGACCTTCGATCGATGGCCGTCCGCCTGTCGCCGCCGCCCCCGCCGCCTCCGCCGTAGCCAGACTAGGCGATGTCTTCGTCCGGCGTGTTCTATCTTTTTTTTTCTTTTCTGGGCTTGTTGAGCTGTGCCCTCAGCAGAATCTATGTACTTTATTGTGAGACTTGGGTGTGTGTGTGTGGACTTGGATTCTGTATGTGGGCTCTCTGGCGGTTTGCTTTATTTATAAAGCGGGGCAAAAGTCTTTTTGGGTATAATTAGGCAGGCAGCTAGTTAGTGACAAATGCAATGTACTTTCCTTGAAATCGGGTTAGCTAGGTCTAGTTTATATTACTCTACATTGAGCAGGTACGAATTAAGATTATATTTATCCAGAACCCAACAAAGCAGTTCAATGGTAGCGATGGTGGGTGGGGGCAATTTTAGAGCTCTGCTGTACTCTGCGCGTACCACGTAGATCTCAGTGTATTGAGATCTCATCAGAATTAAGACAAGAGAATTCCAGGCCCTAGGTGCCCTCTGTGTCGAGAGATACCATCAAAATCAAGATAAAAATTGATTGCACGTAAGCAGGGCAAGAAAGGTAAGGAATTTAACAATCACTGATGGATGGGAAAATGGCGACTGACCGTGCGTGCTTCGCCGCCGCCGCCATGCCACGCGCTCTCTTTTGCTGTGGAGAAATGGGGGCGGGGGCGGGGAAGCTGTGCTTGAGTAAGATGATAGAGAGCGCAGGCTCGGTCGCCGTAGCCGGAGTGCTTGAGCTCCCCATTTGGATTTGGCCGTCGGCGAGGAAGCCGATAGTTTTTTTTTCTTTTTTGAGGGCCCGAGGAAGCCGATAATGTGAGGAAGACGACGAGACTGCGCATATGGATCTGGGGCTTTCCCCCGAATACGGCCTATAAGCTCATTTTCTGGAAATAAAATACTCCCTCCGTCTAGGTGAGTAAGTCATCTTAGGTTGTGCACCGTGACCAAAGAGGAGGGGAAAACGAGAGATCTTAATGTTTATTTGCTAATTAATAGCATTGCATGCAATGAACTAACCACTGCATGTCGTGTTTGATAGTCTCAAGTCATTAAAAACATGCACACCCCCTCGCCTCTTATTGATTAACATGTGAAGAAACAAGAAGCGAGGTAGAAGTTAATGCACCGCGTCTAAGTGTTTTGGGATTATTTGGTTTTTGTAAGATGACTTACACACTTAGATGGGGAGTAGTGGTGTTCTGAAATTAAGCCCACAACTTGCTAATCAGAACTAAGGTGGTTTATTAGGAATGGATCCCTTTTCGTGTACAGGATTGTTTTCTATCCTTCACATTTCAAAGGTATTAGCTCAAACCTAATGTGAAAACTAGATGATACATTGCACGTTACGTTACGACGGGAATATGTTGCAATATATTTCAATATGATTAGGTTGTATGAAAGATTTTGGATTGATAATATATGAAAAACTAAAAATACCTATCATATATTGTATGGAATATTGTATCATTCAAAAATATTTATTGAATATTGGTAGTATAATATAATGGAATTTTTTCCATGCATGTTAGGTGGGCCTTTGATGAGGTGATATGCGTGCATGGTTTATGTGTGCATGCTGAAATACATAAATTAGTGAAGATCAACTAATCAAAACCCATCATCTGTTGGTGCCGTGTGTTGACACCTGTTTTTGGCAAGATACATATTGCAATGAAGATGGTCTCGAGTGAACGGGCTTTCAGCATGAAAAGATACACGTCGCCGAGAGGAACAACTTTGATGTTTCGGTTATATTCATTCGACCTTATCTTACGGACCGAAACTATACTCCGAGTGGCATAATTCAATGTTCCGAGTGATTTTTGGCCAATCACGCCTTAAAGATGACCTCGGATGAAGTAGCACACTAAAAGAATTGTCTTCGTCTCGTCGAAGCAATCAATTTTGATATATAAATCATCTCAATCCGAGTTTTTATGCAAAAGTTACAATCAATACAGACCAGCCCTACCAAAGACCAAAATATTACACTCGACACCAGACACATGTTAATGAGTGTCTGATACAATGCGTGAGCAATTCGGCCTTCTGGACGGCCTTAAATGGAAAAACCTTCAACATAAGAAACATTCGTCTCGTCGAGCCGATCGATTTTCATATACAATTTGTCTCAATTCGAGGTCATATGCAACCTGGAGAGGCAAATCAAGATCAGGCTGTCTTTTCAGTCGGGAAATCCGAGTGGAAAGTTTTACCATCCGAGTGAAAACCTATCGATCGAGTAAAAGGTCGAGTGAAAACTTACTGGTCGAGTGAAAGCTTACCTTTCGAGTAAAACCTTACCGGTCGAGTGAAAGCTTACTTTTGAAGGGAAAACTTACCGGTCGAATGAAAGTTTGACATCCGAGTGAACTTATTATCATCTGAGTAAAGATATTACCGTCGGAATTAAAACTTGCCGATCGAGTAAGAGATTGCCTTTCCGAGTGAAAATATAGTCATCCGAGTGAAATATTATCTTCCGAGTGAAAGATTCTAAACATCCGAGTGGAAAAGCCAAGTTGAAAGATCCGAGTGAAAGACTCTAATATCCGAGTGGATGAGCTCGAATCTGAGTGAAACTGAACATGTGCCCGAAAGTTTATCAAGATGACCTCAGATGAAGAAGTGTTCAATACAGAAATTATGCATATCATCAAGACGGTAAACTTTGGTTTTGGAGTCATCATCATCGGAGATAGTATATGGCCTACAAGTACACTACGAGACTCGGATAATCCAATCTACTGCAAGACCGAGTCCGACTGGAAGGTAAAGATGACCTCGAAGAGTATTCAAGATGGTCTTATTTGAAAAAGTAATCAACATGAGAGTTGTTCGTATCATCGAGGCGCACAAGTTTGATATTTGGGCCATCTTGATCGGAGATCATATGCAAGCTCGGCGGCCCACGCAAGAAGGAAGACAGAGTTTGGGCCAGATTTAGACTGAATACGAGTTGGAATAGAACTAAGACTCCAGGACGCAAATTGATGTAATTTTTCTTGTAAGGAAAGCCTAGATGAATCCTTTACTTGTACGGGAAGTCCAGCCGCCTCTTATATATGTTGGGGGTGACAGCCGATTGAACAACACCAATCGAACAAACACATCTACTACTTTTTCGTGTTCATCTACTTTTATCTCTCTCCTTGTATCTTTCTTCTCGTTCTTCGTTCGTTCTTCGCGTTGGAGGGCAGCGATCCACGAGGCTCTAGGGGCGAGCGAATCGACCTAGGGCAGCCCATAGCCGCCGCACTCCCTGACGGGGTCCCTCCCAGGGATGTGGGGTTTTCGGGTCTGCAAAAGCGCGCGTCGACTGTCTTGCGTATCGCGCTGTCGGTCGGGTCTCCTTCGACGTGAGCTGCGGTGCATCACCCCCGGCGTCGAGGGTACACGTGACGTGTTCGTGTGTCAACACACTTTTTGGCGACTCCGCTGGGGACGAAGGTTTGAACAGTCTCCAGCCTGTTCTTGCTACAAGGAGAGCGTCATCAAGCGGTTGCGATCTACAACGGTAACATGTATCATCAATCTCCTTATGTAGATGCAAATAGCCATTATGTTGATTTTGCTAGATCTTTCAATGGACATGTCATGTCGGCTAGCCCTAATGAGCAAAGGCCGACTAGTTATTCCGTTGGAGAAACTTGGAATTTACATAATCGCGACATGCAACCTACGAATCTGAACTTTCGTGCATCGGCAACATCTTTCAATATGTCGGTGAACAACACGATTTGTTCGAGTGATCAATATATGACACCTCAATTACAGGAGGGTGTCTCACTGTTTTATTCATCGGCAGCCGACTCACAATATGCGGGTTCATCCCCAAACATGCTGATGGATGGGGGAATCGGCCATGCTTCCATTAGCTATTTGGTCGGTTATCCTCAAGCATCATATACTACACCTTGTGAGATTAATTGTTCAGTGGCATATGAAACTAAAAATATTCATGGCTCGGATCACCTTTGTGGTTATGGTCGAGTGAATGGAGATTCTGCAGGAGCATATGTGCCTAATATTGCAGGAGATGAGGTGGCTCTAGCTGCATTAAAAAGTTTAGCCCAAAATAAGAAAATTAGTGCTATTTGCCTTGACCAATACGAAAAGGAATTGGTTCCTGATTATGAGGCAATAAGAGCTAGGATTTTTAAAGAAGACAAAGTGTTACCAAGTGATCAAATTAGCGAGAGAAAATATTCAACAACAGTGCATACGTCTTCACCTATCATTGCAGCATGTTATACACCCCCTGTACAATTGCAAAATTTCGGCAACATCAGTTCATTGCTGAAAGATCATAAAAGTATTGGGGGGCAAGCCAATCCAAGCAGGGCTGAGTTTAAAGAAAAATATGTGGCCCAAGTGGACAAGATCAAGCCAAAGCTCATAGGGAATAGCGTCAACGAATTTACTATGCCAACTCTTGACGAATTACCAATAGAATATTGACATGCTTATGAAGCACTCAAGAAGAAGTGTGAAGAAGAGTATTTGCAAGAATATGTCAAGTTCCTTCCTCCATGCAGCAATCTTGTTGACTCCTCTGTGATGTTGAGGCAAGCCAAGAAAGAAGCTTTGCAAGCAAATCAGCAAGAAAGGGTTCACTCGGCTAATACGGTTGATTCAGTTGAAACTGAGTCAAATATGAATAAGTCATCTACAGCCGAGTCGAACGATTCCTTTAAAGAAAAGACGATGCTGGATTCAGTTGAAACCAGATTGAGCACAGAGACGGTTACAACCGAGTGCATAGAGTCCATACCGAGTACATCATACCAGCCGAGTGCATCGACCCATCTGAGTACATCATGCCAGTCGAGTGCATCGTTCCAGACGAGTGCATCGCCGGCTAAAATCGAGTGCATCAAGCCAATTATTGACGCGTGTACCAAAACAGAAGATGCAAGTTTCGCCGAGCAAAGGAATGGTAAACGCAACGAATTGGCCGTGTTAGATTTTTCTGGATATGAGGGAGCTTACATGCTGCCCTATGAGTTCCGTGCCAAAGAAATTGATAAGCATCAAGAGAAAAGTTATATGGCCAAAAAAAGTTTGGCTAGTGATAAAGATCAAGAACCAGAGCGTGCACCTGAGCAAAGTTCAACTGACAAATAGCGTCCGAGTGAAATCCACTTGGGTAATCCGAGTGAAATATACTCGGGCAACCCGAATGAAATATACTCGGGCATTCCGAGTGAAATCTGCTCAATCAATCCGAGTGATGAGGCACGATATCCAGAAGAAGAGGAAGAGGTGTTGGAGAATTATTCAAAAGTGGAGCAAGATATTGTTCCAGTGGTGCAACCACCTTCTCCTTCCAAAGTCTTCACAAAGGTACACCTAGCAAACAGTTTATTCAATTTTAGATTCGGTCAAAATCATATTGTTGATGCACCCGTTGGTAAGATTCTAATTAATTCTGAAAGACCAATCAAGATGAGTAATCTATTTGTTTCGAATTATCTTGTCACTAATCATGCTGGTCGACACATGTCATCATTCATAGAGGCTAATAGTGACAACTTATCGCAACCTAAGTTGTTCCTGTCATGTCGACTGAACCTTATATTCATATGGACAACTTTGTTTGTTTCATGCCTGGCTAACATTTGGTCTCGGATGAGACATATATTCTGTAATTACTTTGGTTGCAGAAACATAAAGCCAGGTCCAAAGTCCTCTGAGATAGCCGATTCAAGAGCATCCGGAAAGGAGGACGAAAATCAACGCATAGCCGAGTCAGATAGCGTTAAACCGGCACCACTCGGTTGTTTTGTTCCAGAGCCGGTATCACAATATCGGTTAATGGATGAGCAGCGTACCT